GCGCACATCAATGTGTTTTGGCTATCGGATTATGTGGGAGCTTTTTGGAATGCGTACTTGTTTTTGGATTACATTTTTGTGTGTTAATATTGGGTAATGGAATTGTTGTTTGTTAGATGATTGTGTTTTTGTCAGATGATTAGTGGTTCAGAATCACTGAGAGTTGCACGAATGTATTTTTCGTCTAGATTAATTTTTCAGTTCGAGCAAATGCATAATTTTTTAATTTTTTTATTTGTTTTGTTTTTGTGTTTGTTTTTATAATCATTCATGAGATTGTTCAACAAGGTTTGTTTGACCAGAATTTTCCATTATAGGAAAACGAGATGTTTATATATTTATTCAAATTTTAAGCTGGGCATGAATTATTTGATCATCTAGTGCTCTATCCTGTCAATATTGAAATCTCAGTTATCTACTTGTGTTATAGTGATTTATGTGTAGTGGTTCATTTTTACAAGCTGATTCTTGCAACATGTTTGCCACCTAAGGTTTGGGCGATTGCTGATTCCAACCGACAGGGATTTATAGGATTCAAGGAGTTTGTCACAGCGATGAAGGTTGTATACTGTAAAGAAATAACATAATAAAATATTATGCATTTGAAATTGGAATTAACTAATTATGTTCGTTCTTATTCACCTTTGTATCCTTTTTTTTTTTCAGTTGATAACACTGGCGCAAGAAGGACATGAATTAACATCCAATATTGTCAAAAGCACAGGCATGTAATGAAATGTTTAGCCATTACTTTATATTACAGATTGTTAAAACTGCATATTGTACTTTCTTTCGGGCGGTCATTGTAACTGTAACATTTCATGTGCACTGGTAAAAAAACTGCATATGATGCCTCAGGGATATTTATATTATTATATGATTGCGTCTTACATTCTTGAAGGTACTTTGGAGGCACTTAGTCCCCCATCTATGGAAGGTTTAGATGTTTTGGTGGAAGTAAGTGCTCCTTAAACTTTAGCATTTGTGATTCTATCTTATTGCTATGCTTTGTAAACATTGAGTTCACATTTCTCGAGCAGAATAACAGAGCTTCAGCACCGAATGACAATGTTATCTCCAATGGTAAGTGTCAAACATCACCTATTATGGCTTTTACATTGAACCTTAGCTTTGCTCTTATTGTTAATTGCAAATTATATTAACAATATGCAGGAACTGTACAGTTGCAACCAACAGTTTCAAAGAGTTTCTTTAGCACAAAGTCCAAGCAGAAGGTAACTACCTATGTTCCTGTTTTATTACACTGCTATTTGTTCAATTTCTTTTTCTTTGTTTAACTACTTCCAGTATAAAATGGTTACATAAATGAATCTTCTAATGTAGTCCTATTGTGTAAGGAAATATATGAATTGGTCTAGTCTTCAAGACTTTATTTATGTTCTTGTAAGATAGTATCGTTTTTAGATAGAGTGTTGAGTTTCGGCCAAGTTAATTGATCATGTTGTATATAACAAGTGTTGTAATGTTTAACTTGTTATTTTTTACAACCTCTACAGAACTATACTTCGCTCAATGCTGTTACTTCAGTCGTTGATGGTTTAAAAATATTGTACAATGAGAAGCTAAAGCCTCTAGAAGCTACTTACCGGTTCAATGATTTTGTTTCTCCTTTTCTGGTGAGTCATTTGGTTCTTACTCTTTTGTATTTATACCCTTTTGCCTAGATTTGCTTATTATATACACTCCTTTGAAAAACTTTGAGTCCTAATATTAATGTAACTATCCTGTTATAGACTAGTAGTGACTTTGATGCAAAACCTATGGTCATGCTTTTGGGTCAATACTCAACCGGGAAAACAACTTTTATCAAGCACTTGCTCAAATCCAACTATCCAGGTTTAATTTCTTATATGTCATGACACACATCGATTATTTCAGTACAAAACATATCTAAAATAGTAATTTTCCTTTTGTAATTGTTCACTCTTTTTTCCGGTTCTTAGGTGCTCATATTGGACCCGAGCCAACTACTGACCGATTTATTGTTGTCATGGTACAAACATGCATTTTTATTTCTTTACATATTTAATTCTTTCTTTATTATAGCCATCTGAGTGTTTTGCTTTTTAGTGTTATGATTATCATTCGAGTACTACTTTCATGTCTCCAGTCTGGGCCCGACGAAAGGAGTATTCCTGGCAATACAGTCGCAGTTCAGGCCAACTTGCCATTCAATGGTTTGACTACTTTTGGTGGATCTTTTTTGTCAAAGTTCGAGTGTTCGCAAATGCCACATCCCGTAAGTTAACTTTGTTTTTCTTGGCATGCTATAAAATGACGTGGTTCCTTATGCTAAGCTTTGAAGTTTTGAATTCATTTTTGCCTACAGCTGCTCGAGCATATTACTCTTGTCGACACTCCTGGGGTTTTATCCGGTGAAAAACAACGTACACAAAGAAGCTATGATTTCACGGGTGTCATATCATGGTTTGCTGCAAAATGTGATATGATTCTCCTTTTGTTTGATCCACATAAGCTCGACATTAGTGATGAGTTCAAGCGGGTGATTTCGTCACTACGTGGTCATGATGACAAAATACGAGTTGTTTTGAACAAAGCTGATCAAGTCGACACTCAACAGGCAAGTTTACTATGTGTGTGTGTTCCTTATGTAATCAGCTGAAAGGATAAATTGATTTCTCACATTTTTTTCCTTTCCATAATGCAGTTGATGAGAGTTTATGGTGCACTAATGTGGTCGCTTGGAAAAGTCTTGAACACTCCAGAGGTGTCTCGTGTCTATATTGGGTATTTTAAACTTTACTTATACCACTTATTTATTAAATTCCCTGTTACATTTGCAAAAAATTATAAGATTAAATATTTTTTTTTAAAAAAAAAAATCGTGATTTTGGAGGGTTCAAATGCATACATGATATATAGCCGTGCACGAAGTTGGATTTTCCCCTTCAATAAAGCTTATCTAGTTTTTCCTCAATTATTTGTTTTGTTATGAATATATATTGTTCCTTATGTTGCATTATGTATTTTCACAAAAGATGGTTGTTTTTGTTTTGTATTAGCTTAATTAATTTATTGCTTTGTCCTTCTTCAGTTGGAGAATTACTGTTCTTAGTTGTACCAACAATAGATTAGTAAAGCAAAATGTGAGTTTCATTTCATGATTACTTTCTGGTGAAATCCAGATCATTTAATGACAAGCCTGTGAACAAGACTGCTGTTAGCTCTATGGGTGAGGAACTCTTTGAGAAAGAGCAAGACGATCTTCTCCTCGACTTGATAGATATACCAAAGAAAGCTTGTGATCGACGGGTATATGCATTTTCAAAGATAATTAAGTTAAATTATTATATACTCAATACATTGATTTCACAAACTCAAGGCTTGAATTACAATTAAAAAAAATAAAATATTGCCAGATCAATGAGTTTGTGAAACGTGCCAGAGCTGCTAAGATCCATGCTTACATAATTAGCCATCTCAAGAAAGAGATGCCGGCTTTAATGGGCAAAGCCAAAGCACAAAAAAGACTCATTGAGAATCTTGAAAATGTATTTGCAAAGGTACACATTCTCATGTTTGTTATAAAACTCTTAACTCTATTGTACACATTGCTCGTATTATTCAACCTTTTTTTGAAGTCTAATGTGATTTTTCACAGATCCAACAAGAATTTCATTTGCCAGCCGGAGACTTTCCGGATGTGGAGCAGTTTAGGGAAGTTTTAAATCGTTATAACATTGATGAGTTTGAAAAATTGAAGCCAAAAATGATTCAGGTCGTTGATGACATGCTTGGTGTTGATATTCCTGAGCTGTTGAAAAGCTTTAGGAACATTTATGATTAGAATTGGGAAAGAAACATTTCAAGAAGGCTTGAAAGTTCTGTTAATTTGAGTTTTGGACAAATTTGTTCGAATGACATTTCATATTTGAATTCTTGAGCGTTTGGAAATTTGCTTTATGTAGTCAGGCTTTGAACTCTTGATTGAAATTTTTGAGGAAATTCTGCATATGTTAAAAACAGGTGCTACGTACCAATGGATAAAACTAAACTTGAGGATATAGATTATTTGATGAGATGTGTGAAATCTAAGTTCGGAAATGACTTATTTGACTTTGGCATACTAATTTTATTTTCAGTAGTTTTAGTACTTTGTCTGGCCTTGTGATACCCTGAAAAATCATGAGATAATTACCCCCTTCACCTCCCGATATTCTTTTAAGCACATATATACGATAGTGAGTTTTTAATTGGTTGAATACCAAAATTGTATTTTAATTTTCCTTCTCTCTTAAAATTGATGGTCCGTCAAATTCAATTCTCTCAAATTCTCCTCGCCCTTTCTTTTTCTCTCGTTATCTTTCTTCTTATCCTAATTAATTTCTTTTCAAATCGATCGTCCTCGTCTTCCTTCAAACCCTAAATCCAAATCGAAGGGGTTGGGCCAAGCTATGGAGCCAGAGGACGCGGGATCCGGGCCGAAGGTCGCAAAACACGGTATCGGCTGGAAGCAGACGGCGGGGTACAAGGAGAAGAAGGCGACAATTGCGGAGGAGATGAAGAAGATGCGTCGGTTGTCGATCAACAGCAGCCATGTCGCCCACCGTCTGCGTTTGTTGGACAAAGTTTATTAGCTTCTGCTAGCCCTGGTTCGTTTGTGGGGATGTGAATCAAATTGTTGTTATTATTTGTTAATTTTGTAATTAATTAGTGTAACCGGTAGTTAGCTTTGAAGAGATTAGGATTTTGGGTTTTCTATTTTCTCCTACTGATGAAGAAGGTTTCAGAATTCTGCGTTTTTCTTTTTCTTTTTGTGAGGTAGTTTGTAAGCAAAAATATTAATGTGATGTTTATCTTGAGTTGATTTTTGTTAAATTATTTTTAAAAAATTTGTTTGAATTTAATTTTGTCAAATATAATTTGATGATTATGTTGAGTTAATTTTTTTAGTTATTGGTTATATATTTTTTTTTCTTATCTATGTTTATATTCAGTTTATTTATCGTTTATTAATTGTATTTTTTTATCTTATCTATGGATTATATTTAGTTTATCTATAGTTTATTTTCAGTTTATCTACCGTGATTTTCTTGATTATTGGTTAAGGTGGAGGGCTACTGTGGTCTGCGATTCTTTATTAGATTTTTGCATTTGTCTTTTTTATTTTTTATTTTTGCCTATTTAATTTTTTTGACTTGGAAAAAAAAAATAGATAACAAACATAAGATTAACCAAAAATTTAAATTAAATATAGATATAATGTAATAAACTTAAGATAAACGGAAGATAATCTAAAAGATTTCACAAAATATAATTATCGTGATTTTTAAATTAAAAAGGCTTTTTGATTACTTAAGTGGTATTAGCTTTCGTCATTCGTAGTTTGGGAATTCTCTTTTGAAAAGAACTTAGATGCGTCCTTTAGCCAAAAATCATCATTACAGTATTAATTTAATCTGTAAATCGATAACATAATATAAGGTTGCTTTTGTTTGGGCTTAGTATAAGAGTGGACTTAATTATATGTAGTTGATAATACAAATAAATAATAATTTGTACCACTTAAAAGGGTTTTACATAATACCGAAAACAGAGTTAGCATAAATTCGAAATATCAATTTGTTTAAAAGAATGAAACATGAAAAGACTATAAAGTCCATGCCGATCAATTTGTTTTAAATTTTTGGCCCCCTACCTGGAAATTGAAGAAGTGCAATTTACTGGACATATTAAGTTTACCTTCTTTTTTATGCGTGCCAATGAGTTGACGAATTCCAACCGTTGTAAGTGCGCCCGTATCAGATTTGTAATTGTTCAAAGATAGTTAAATGTCAAATGATCAGTCTGCCCATTGTTTTAAAGATAGTTAAATGTCAAATGATCATAGTCTGCCCATTGTTAGGTTGAAGCTTATGGTGTTACCTGTTTTTAATTGTTGGGTCATCCAGAGTTGGTATTGAATGTGTGTAACTAATATAAAATTGTTCTTCATTACATAAGGTAGCAAAACACGTATGTTACAGTAAGGATCAATTTGCTTTGCACAATGTGTTCAAACACGCAGCTTTTGTTAGGTATCTAACTTGTTATGCAAACTGAAACTAGTGCATAGCCCGAGTGATACGTTTAGACACAAAAACAATAAAGTTGGATCATCTATTTTATACCTCTTTTAATCAGTGAACCAGAACGTTAACATGTTAATTAATATATTATTTCGCTAACACGTTACACTAATATAAATTTAATTTTAGAATATATATTTATTCATCGATATATGAAAAAAATAACAAATTTACTTATTAAATAAAGGTTAAAAAATGTTATTCCGTTTTATATAATTAAATATAATATTATCGACAAATATTAATTCACAACTTGATTTCGCCTAATTAGTTAGAAGAAGAAAATTATTTAACATGTTACGATTGTGTTTTTATGTTTATGTTGAACAGAATATTATGAACATGAATTACGAAAAATCAAATTATAATTTTATAATGGATATAAATAAAATTATTACAGATGTTAATAAAATTATTCAAGGAACGAATCTTTTTAATCATATCTATTTGGAATTTTCTATATTCAAACAATTAATGTATAATTAAAAAGTTTTCAAATAAGGTATGCATTTAATGTTCCTAGATTTTTTTTACTACTATTTTTAACAAATGATTATTTTCTTTATATAGATATATAGATATAACAATAATTCTATGGAGTCATCGATGACTTCCTTATGGAGTCATCCATAACTTTATATATTGACACGTGACTAATGTGTATTTATTGCAGGACACGTGTCAATACACCATTTGTGGATAATTATGGATGACTCCAAAAGCCAAGCCATCCGATTGTTCCATAGCAAAACCGATAGATATAAATGTTATTTTTTATTTACTTCAACATTCTTCTCCTCAAAGTACTACTAATAAAACTGAAACATCAATTTCAGAAGATATTATGCTATCAACTCTGTTTTAACCCGTACACAATCAAGTACACATAAGATGAACGTCAGGCCAAAAGTGCTAGTAGAATTGGCGCCAGCCTGTACTAAATCACATACATACATACACCATTTTCTAAGTCAACATTGTACATATGTATGATTAATACATTTTTATCTGTGTAATATGATTAATTTATTTATACGGAGTATATTTCATCGAGTGCCTAAAAATATAGTATTAAATGAATAATTGACTTTTTATAGGCTGCTGTACTAAGACAAATCAGGCGCTGTTGTACTAAGACCACTCCACTAACTAAGAGAATAGACACATTTTTTTTTTCCGCATCCCATGCATCAACTTATAAATACATCTCATCATCATTTTTCTCTCATACCATTTCCATAATTCCACATCCAAGCTTCACACACATATACATATATATACACCAACCCAATCTCATTACTATTCCAATTAATCAATAAACAAAAACCATGAAGTCCCTTATTAAGTTCACAACAACTCTACTCTTGCTACTAACAATAACAAACTCCCTATTCATATCCCTCACAGCCGCAGAACCTTCCGGAAGTCCAACGAATGAAGACGAAGATTTTCCTTCGGTGGGGCCCAAAATATCCCTGCGTGGGGCCACCCATCTTCTCCCGCGCGTCCCATTCGCAAGGTGCGACAAAAATCCCGGGATTTGCAAACGTGTGCGCGGAAAACGAGATTGTTGCAAAAAGAGATGCGTAGACCTTACAAAAGACAGATTGAACTGCGGGAGATGTGGTCACAAATGCAATTTCTCAAAGATTTGTTGCCGTGGAAAATGCGTGAACCCGTTGAGGAATATAAGGCATTGTGGGGGGTGCGGTAACGCGTGCAGGGGAGGGAATAAGTGCGTTTACGGAATGTGTAGCTATGCGTGAAATTAAACTTGACAATATTTTTTAATTTTTAATTGGTTGCATATATAGTTTAGTTAATTAGCCAGCTATGGATTATTATTTCATTTTTAGATCTTATAATTCTATTTCCTACAGTTAACATAATGAAAGTAANTTTTTTTTTCCTTTTTTCAAGAAAATGAGGATTTACAATGTTCTCACTTCTCCTCCGAAAATAAATGATTAACTAGACCTGATTGAGCCGGACTTTTCTGTTTTCGTATCAAATCTCGATTTAGTCGATTCCACCCTTAAAAGTAACCATGGTTTAGTAAATATAAAAAAAAAAATTGAAATCAAATGATTCACATGGCCAAGCAAATTAAAGGAGAACAGAAGAAAAAAAAGCTAGAAATAGCAAATTAAAAAAAGGGTACAGGTGGTTGCTTTTTATTGGTGGGGAGAAAGAACAGGGGCCACCCTACAAAAAAATCGAGAGAATTACACAGATCTCAAAATCTATATATATATAATTGCTAGCTAATCCCATTTAATAAAACATTTAATAAAAATATTTTTACTTTTCCTCCAAAAGAAGTTACATTTTTTTTAATTAATTACTCATTAATCTCACATTTAAGAAAATTTTTTATAGTTAAATTTAATTAGTTAATGACTAAATTAAAAATATTTATTTTAATTAATCCCACATTTATGTTAAATACAGTATTATCTTAATATCTTATCAGTTTTTTCAAAAAAATAGTAACTTTTTTCAATATATTTTATAAAAATTAGTCAAATGTGCTTATATTCATATAAATCAGAAAAAAATTTAAATCTTAGATATATAAAAAGAACATCGTTGAATAACTTGAATCCGCAAGGGTAATTCTATACTCATTATCAATTACTTTAAATTTTTTGTGTATATAAAAAATTAATATTATATTTACTTATTTATATTTAGATGGTATTTTTTTTATTAAGAAGCAAGAACAATCTCTATCAATCAATAAGAGTCAAGGACAAACAATATAAAGAAGTGTTTCCTATGCTATGACATGATCAAGGCAAAATTTCAAAATTGGTCCTATAACTTGGCCATTGTCCAAAAAATCATCCCGATATTGACCAATTTCAATTTAGGTCCTATAATTTGTCGATTTCATCAATTTTGGCCCTTTTCATCAGCACGCTGGATTAAAAAGTGACGTGGCATGACGTGTCAGTTTTTTAATTTTACATGGCGTGGTTATGATCTACGTGGCACGTCAATTTTGGTCCTATAATTTGTCGATTTCATCAATTTTGGTCCTTTTTTCATGCCACGTCACTTTTTAATCCAGAGTGCGGATAAAAAAGGACCAAAATTGATGAAATTGATTATATGACCTAAATTGAAAGTGGTCAATATCGGGGTGGTTTTTTGGACAGTGGCTAAATTGTAGGACCAATTTTGAATTTTTGCCCATGATCAATAAGAGTCAAAGACAGTCTCTGTCGCACGTCGGCTTACTACTGAAGAGCTCTGCATTTAGTCATGAGCAGTTATACGTGGCGCTTTTTAGAGTTACGAGTCAGTGGAGTTTGGAGATTTTGATTTGAGCTGAGGCAGATTTTGACGATAGAAAAACAACGACGTTATTTTATAAAGAAGTGTTTAAGAATATTTATATTTTTTTCTTAATTTTTTTCAATGAATTTGTTATGATTTTTATTATTGTTTATAATTTTTATTATTTTTTTATGTATCATATAGTTTTCCGTGCAAATCCACGGGACAAAAACTAGTTGGGTTAATCCCTAATTTTTTTTTACCAATATCTGAAAAAATTCACGCCGCAACAAATTCACGATCTTAAATGGTAATCTATATATATATAATAAGAATTACCATTTACCAAAAACAGTAGGAAAAAAGTAGGTAAGAATTTAATGCAGCCTATAAATAGTAAGTTTTATTATTTTTCTTATTTTTTTTTTTAAAATCATACAACATTAAATGTTGCCTTAATTTCGGGCTCTAGTTCATTTTATTATTTAAAAAATCCGACTAAAATTTATTAAGTGTGTATGCTTTTATTTTTATATTTTTCTTAGAAACAACGAATAAATTAAAATCTCAATTCAAAATATAACAAAAGTTTTAGAATCTCGATCTTTATATTTTTGCCTTTAAAAAAATATTGAATGCTAAAAATATTCTTTAAATTGCATAATCAATCAATTAATCTTAATTTTTTGAAAATTACTATGTTTATTTTTTATTAATATACATAAAGTAAAAATAATTAATTCATCTTTGGATATATAGTTTATAATCTTAATATACTATCATTTGGTGTAGACATTTATTACATGAATCATAAAATATTTTTATTTCATAAAATTAAATATATATAAAGAAAATAAGAAAATTTCTTTGGATCAATCAGGTGATGAATTATGGTACTGCCCAGATTGATTGAATTACTTTTAGGTGATATTTAAAATAGTCAAAAAACTTGACACAACTTGGTTGGTCTCAGGTGACTAAGTTATGTATCAGTTCGACCACACAAAATCGATTATTGTACATAAATATAAATTTTATATTGAAAATATTTTATTACGTGAATGTGATATAGTCTAAACTTAAAACAATCGTATTACCAATACTTTTATGATAACATGTTTAATGATTTATGAATATTTATATATCATTTTATTAATATTTATGTGAATTAAATAATATTTATTAATGTACAGTAAATATAAGGTTTTTAGAACTGGACCGTCATCAAAACGATCAAACCATTTTATTAAATTATTTGTGGTTTGTTTAGATTTTAATTTATAAAAATTTTAATATATATATATATATATATAGTACTTTTTAAATAAAATGTGTTACTTAGATATCTAAACAATTTATAAATTTAAATATTTAAACTAATTGATAAATAATTTATAAATTTCTATTTTATTTAAATATGTAATTTTATTTAAAATAATTCTAAATATAACAGAATTTATTTAGAAAATCGTATAGATCCTACCAGTCCAACCGACTGGTGTTGACGGATTCGAGAGAAAATATTTTATTCAAGCGAACTAGACTGATTACAAATCGGTTCTCGGTCCATCCGGTCAGACTGTGTCCAACTCGGTTTAATTTAAAAACAATGGATAAATCATGATTAATGTTATTTATATATTTAATTTATAATACAATCGTAATATTATTTTTCTGTGCATCGCACGGGCCAGGCACTAGTAGATTTGATATACCTGTGATTAAAAGGGATCATGATGATAACCAAACAGATTCAATGGACCACCTAAATTGATGTTTATATTTCCGCCCTACACATTAAAATAAAATAAATAAAAAAAGTATTAATTTTATTAATATTCTTGTAGAACAAATTATAAAAAAAGTAATAATTTGTGACATAATAAAATTCATTGTTCCCTTTTCGGCCTAACTCAAACATCATGCGATGTTCGTTTTAAGTGGGTGACCCACTGTTGGATTATTATCGTCGGGACGATCTTACTCGTACACTTTTATATGAATCATAGTTCATTTTCCCACTCAGTTTTCCCTTTAGAAATATTTGGATTAGTTTTTATTCGGTTTAATTCAGACGCCATCTATGATCTGGTTTAGGTGATTGACCCAGCATCAGATTCTTCTTGTCAAGCCAGTCTTATCAATCAAATTCGATTTTTGAATTAGACTTTGTTTGTCTGCTCAATTTGTCATCCAAAATAATTTTGGACAAAATTTGTTGTTCTCTATCTAGAACAATTTTGTTCTTCAAACGGATGTTTTAGTTGGTGAATCATCATTGGATTTGTCTCATTAGAACGGTCATAACTACAAATTTGTAGCTCAATTAGATTTCGTTTGCCTTCTTAATTTTTCATCTAAAATAATCTGAGTTGTTATACTTTTGGTCTAATTCTAGTGTTGTGTCACATCAGTTTCAAGTATGTACCGACCGCTGATTTTTTCTTGTCGAGACATTCAAATGCTCAAAATTTGAGACCAATTGGAGTTCGTTTGCTCAGTCAGTTTCGCATCCAAAGTTATATGCACAAACTACAATTTTGGTCTGTGATCGCCTGTGACGAACCCGTGATAAATTTAAATAATCTAGCATTTATCATGCCACTACTCATTATTGTACCTTATTTGGTGATTTCTTCAAATTAATGCACTAAGTTTGATATTCGCCAAAAGGTTAACCTTTGCTCGAAAGAGGCCAATATAGTGGAGCAAAAGTGAAATAATTAATGCCTACATTTTTGTAAAGCACGCAATTTCACCAATTACGTTATTTGAATAGTAAATACACCTTGTTTGATCGATGAACATCAACTATCACTACAAAAAAATTGTCATATTTCAATGAAAAATCCGAAGGTAATATTAACAAAAGGAAATTCCAAACGAATAATCTAATGGTTACTTCCGTTGAAATGACTTCAACGGAAAGTCCAACAAAAAATTCTGTTGGTAAGATTTTCATTGAAATTTTGTATGAAATTTGATGATTCCAACGATAATTTTTTCAATGTACTTTTACTATAGGAATTTTCGTTAGAATATACAATTTCCATTGGAATTTTTATTTCACCTTATATTTCAGCCATTGGAATTTTTAAAATCTTGCTGATTTTCTAATAGCAAACTCATTCAAATGGAATATTTTTGTTAGAATCCATTGAAAAATTCCAACGAAAATAATACTCTTGGAATAGCAACTGGAACTGTCGTTGGAATTCTATTGAAATAATAATAATAATAATAATAATAATAATTAATAATAATATATTATTATAATAATCAGTACATTTTTGCAAAAATCTATCATGATGTGTAGTTGCACCTCGAACCGGCTCTCCACAATCCCTTGACCGATTTGTTTGTTGGAGACCTGCAAAGACGGCGTGAGATATTCCCGATATTATACCTCCAAGGATCAAGTCAGTAAGGTGATATGAAAAGTTGTATGAGAAAATATACTGAAAGTTTAGAATGTATAAAGTGTGATTAACTATTACATTTTTCAAATCTTACCTATTTATAGAGAATTGTTGGCTTCCTGAACAAGACTTGGTTATGACTTCTGCCCGACTGCCTAAAGGCCTGCCCAATTGCCCCAGCTGTCCCAAAGGCTGCACATCGGTTATTAGACTACCCGTAGGTCTGCCCGTCGGTTATTCGGTTCAATTCTTGTCCGTCAGATTATTTTTATTTTATTTATGACCCTACACGTATCCCTTTGTCAACAACCTAGCTCAACCTATTATGTTGATCAGTGTATTTCTTATCTGAGCTATTTACCTGTTATTACGATATTCAAGCTACTGTCACACCTAAGTTGTCCGAGCTCCTTTGTATCTGAACTATAGACCTACATAAATTATCCAAGCTCCTTACCATCCGAACTACAGGCATTCATGTTATTCATGCTTCCTTAATGCCCGAGCTTTAGGCTACGTAAATTGTCCGAGCTCCCTGGTGCCCACGCTATAGGTATACCTAAGTTGTCCGCTCTCAGGTGCCCAGGAATTAATTAGAGAGGTGCTCCAACTATTCGAGCTACCTGAGCCCTCATACGCTTTGACCAGCGAGCCTATCTAGCCTTCGGTCTACAAGTCAAGCTGGACATGTCCAGTTTACCCGAGTTACCTTATGTGCTATATCATATCATATTTACACATCATATTATACAAATGCGTTTGAAATATAGGATTTGATACGCTTAACTTTTATTGATCTAATTTCTTGTAATTATTTTTCATTACTTACCGTATCAGCCAATGAATTAATCCATCGAACCAGAAGATTTACTAAAAACAATTCCAAGTCAAATACTTCCTCTAAAGTCTCCAATTTCAGAGTCAAATAGCCTGCACCTCGTGCGATCACGTCTAATTACCTAACAAGAATCTTAGAAAAATGAGGCCAATTNAAAATAAAAAAATAAAAAGAAAAAAAGAAAAGCACTCCCAAAATTAATCGTGGATGTCACACTTTTATTAAAAATCACTTAAAACGCATATAAATTGTTAATTCAATACCCCCTCTTCTCACCTCAAATCCCCACTAAAATTCACCCAATCATGGCCTTCACAACCCCTCTCGCTCTAACACTTAGTCTAATTCTAGTAACTTTATCAACAACATCATGTAATCCTTACTACAGTCACACGAAAATCATGAACCCAATAGACTCTTGCTGGAGGGCCCAATCCAATAATTGGGCCACAAATCGGCGTGCATTAGCCGATTGTTCGGTCGGGTTTGGGAAAAACGCCATCGGAGGGAAATTTGGAGCCACTTACATTGTAACCGACCCGTCAGACGACCCGGTAAGCCCAAAACCCGGCACCCTGAGATACGGTGTAATCCAACCGAACCCACTTTGGATCGTTTTCGCGAAAAGCATGGTCATCTCGCCGAAAAACGAGCTCATGATAAGTAGTTACAAGACGATCGACGGGAGAGGGGCGAAAGTGGAAATTGCTTATGGGCCTTGCATCACGATACAACATGCTAGCCACGTGATCATACACGGGATTAGCATTCACGATTGTAAGCCCGGGAAATCGGGCCTCGTCCGCGACAGCCCGATCCACGTGGGCCATAGGCAGGGCTCGGATGGTGATGGTATCGATATATTTGCCTCGACCGATATATGGATCGACCATTGCTACCTTTCGCGTTGCTATGACGGGCTTATTGACGTGATTCATGCTTCTACGGACATCACCATATCCAACAACTACTTCACACAACATGATAAAGTAAGTACTTTTAGTTTGTTAATTACTTGGTTAATTAAGAAAATATTTAGTAATGATAATTTGAAATGTTTTTTATGGTTTGAAAAATTTGCATGCTTGTTTATAAATTATTTCATTCACATTCAATTCATACTCAAAATATAATTCAACTTTAACTCAACTCCACTATTTTTAATATTATTCATATAATTAAATAATACCAATCATTCTTACACATCACATCAACTTTAATTCACTATTTATCCACTCACATAATTTTAACTACATATCATTTCCAATCATTTACCTCATACTTTTACATCAAATCAATTTTAATCATTTTACTTTAAATATTATTTTAATACATTCTTAAAATTCTACTAACAAACTATTCATACTACATTTTTTAAAATTAACTATAATTAACTAAAATAATTCATTTTGGGTGAATTATTTTATAAACAAACGAGCCTACGTCTTGCAATTTATAATGTGTTATAAATGATAGGTTATGTTATTGGGACATGATGATCAGAATTATGAGGACAAAGCAATCAAAGTCACCGTAGCTTTTAACCGATTTGGGCCCGGTTTAGTCCAAAGAATGCCAAGGTACATAAATTAAAATCAGAATTACTATAATATCCACGTGGTGTACTAAAAAAAATTGTAAAATATTGTGAATTTTATTTTGGAGCAGAGTTAGACTAGGTTATGCCCACGTGGCGAATAATAGATATGACACGTGGGGGATGTACGCTATTGGCGGGAGTGCTTATCCGACCATATTCAGTGACAGAAATTACTTCAATGCCCCTTACAGTCCTGATATAAAACAAGTAAGTCGCATTATTAATAAAAACGCACAAATAACATAGATGTGTTAAAATAATAAAATCACGTGACTTTATAAAGAAATTTAACTTGGATCGTCATTTGATCAACAGGTGACAAAAAGGGAGAACAACAAGAACGGGTGGACAAACTGGAAATGGAGGTCATATCGGGACAGGTTCATGAACGGGGCTTATTTTGTGCCATCTGGATATGGGAGCATTGCACCGAGCTACACCAGAGCACAGTATTTCAAAGTGGCTGACGGATACATGGTACCCGCACTAACATCTGATGCCGGCCCATTGAACTGCTATCCGGGAAGAGCGTGTTGATTGATTATGAAAGATAAGAGTTCTGGATATCCGGAAGTATTGATAACATTAGTGAAAGTGCTTGAGCTAAGTAAGTGTAATTAGCCAGCATCGTCTGATGTTGTAAGATTAGTTTGCTCCTTGCTTTTTTATATGTTGTAAATTAGTTTTGGGTTTGCACAAGGTTTGGAAGTGACTGCTTCCAAAAGTTTGCTATGAAATTAAAAGTATAAATTTCCGTTGGCAGTCGCATGAGAAAATTTACCGCCACAAATTACACTGACAAATTCGCTACCTAATGGCCGCGCGTCGCAACACGGCAAATTTAAATTTATAAAGTTTTCCTCGACTAACCTCTACTAACTAGTAGCAGTGGCGAGTAAGGGTCGATCCCAAGAGGAGTAGGAATTAAATTGTGACAATCTCGTATTAATTGAATTAAACTAGGAAAGCAATAAAAGATGGGGGGGATTGGTTTTATAAAAATAAGAAAATAAAAATAAGAAAATAAAATAAAAATCAAATAAAATAAGAGAAGTCCAGTTTTTGATTCAGTTATCACCCAATCTAAATCTACCGTTAATTAATTTCGACGCTTTCTTTAAATTGCTAATGAATTACCGACCCTAGCTAACAACAAACTCTGTTAACCGAATTTTCTCTTACCGAATATTTAATCGAAATATGCTCTTCCACTAAACCTAACTAGCGGACAACCTAGAATAAGCAGATTTAATACACTAGCAGTATTAATTTCTAGGAAAATAGATCAGTCTAAGTAATGGACGCAAAAGTTCGGACCATTTAACCTATGCTCACGCTACCCTAAGGATGCACGACCCCCAGTTTACTACTAACGAAACGAGACAATAACAATTACGGATTAAAGTCTCGAATCTAGCAATTAAACTATGAATATTCAACCTAGCTGGCCAAACTAAATCAAACACCGTAATTCATAAACGTTATAAACAGATAACATGAATCAACTCATCAACAAAAATAAATACGACGTCTCAATTAACCAACGATAAATATAAATCCTTCAATCTATAGACAAATCGAAGTTAGGGTTCAAACATCCCCTAAAACTGGATAAAAATCTAACCTAACATGCTAATAAAAATAAATACTAACTAAAAGATAAATGAGAGAAGATAAAAATATCTCCCTCGTATACAATTGCGGCTTCCCTCCGCTCGTGTGAAGCCTTCTTCCCAGACTCTGCGTTTTTCTCCTGCGGGTTTTTTTTTTCTTTTCTGTCTGCGGCTCCCGTTAATTTTTCCTCTACCCGTGCGTAATAATCAATCCCGCTCTCCCTTTTTTTTTTTCTTTTATCCCGTGGCAAATAATTCACTTTGTTAAGTCTCTCAAAAGTACTCCCAACCAATCATACGTGAGTGCTGCTATGTCTTGAAAAATAATTTAAAGTTACCTCAAGGAATCAAACTCCTCCCAGCACCCTAAAGTGAGACTCACATTATTCTTCTTTTATCATTAAATTGCCATGAACTCCAAATAATCAGCCCACCTTTTCCCCCCGTAAGACCACCTATTGGGCCATTTTACTCCATTCTTGGGCCCCAACTGATGGATGTTGGGCGATAATTGATCACGTGGACTTCCGTTCAATGCCTCGCGTACACAAAATATTCCAACGAGCTGAAATTAAATATAAAAATATCAATGTATATGAATCCATCTAAATAATAAATAAGTCGAAAAAATATAAACGTGCAAATAAATAAAGTGTATAAAAATACACTATTAAATATATAAAACGTGCACATTTTTTGACCTATCACCTAACTTCTAATTTATAATAGCAGTAAAATTATTTGTTCTTTTTTTCTGATAAAAATACAAAACATGGGTGGTGGATCCTAATGGACTCCTTAATTTGGAAAACAATAGAGGGTTCTCTCAGACCTCTACAGTTCCACAGAACAGTGTTCATTGATCAGGTTGGAGTCATTCGAGGCTGGGTACCCCCACCTAAATCAATAAGCTCTTTTGGTTCTTACAGGCTCTCTTACTAGACTGCTCCAAATGCATCTCTTCCTCCTTTGGTTCCACCTTTTGCCCATGTCTTTTTAAGCCACCAACTGGCTACTTCATGGTGGCCTCTTTCTATTGTCTTTAATTTTCAGCCTACCATTCAAATTGTTTTGCCTTTTCTAAGTAGTAGGTCACTTCTTCCCTTATTGCACCATCTTTCCCTTTACCAGGTGATGAGAGCTTATCTCTTCACTGCCCCCTTTTATCTCTATAGTCACTTCCTGAGCCACCAAAGTTTCTTCTATAAGAGTTTCTTCAGGTAGCAAATGTAGAAAACTACCTAAAAGAAGCTTTGAGGGTTATTGATTTTCAGAGATTTGATTCTGGAGCCCTGTAATCTAAATAGAGCTGCTTAATATGGTACCCCTAATAACTTCTGCCTCAGAAGAAAAATTTATATCCCCTCCATGAAGACCAACACTGTTGACATTCCTTGAAGAAGATGGGGGTATTTTGATGATGGGCGGGGTTGTTGACATTACAGTGGTTTGATGAATTTGAATTATATGGTAAGTGTATTCCTTCTAGAATGGAGGCTTTCCGAGGCCTTCATCCAGTCCCCAAACTACCCCTCAGCCACCTAGCCACTTTCTATACCTGCTTCCTTCTTTTCACAAAGTCTTTCCACGTGCCCTACTTTGCCATAATAATAGCAAAAGTTAACTAGCTTTTCATACTGTAAAGTTACCCCCAACTGGGTATTTAGGAGCTTGATATAAGCACATCTAGGTAGAGGCTCAAATATATCAATGGAGACTAAGAGCCTAATGAAACTCCCTTTCACTTCTTCTGTCTTCACCACAACCATTCTTAACTTTCCTAAACAGTCTTCCAATCTTCAAACCTGCCTCAGTACTGAGCCAATTTAAAGGAAGTTTACGTACCTGTACCACAAATTGATTTCATTGAAGCAATGGTTCTTCTTTGTTAAGCCCTCTTTCCATTCATGTAAAACCAGGTACTTATTTTCAAACACCCAGTTGATTCCAGCTGCTACCTTTTCATGTCTTCCTTACTGTCGAATATGAACTGGAAAAAATTTAAACCCAGTTCCTTTACCTCAATTGGTTGTGCCATCTGCAACACCAATCTCATTGTACGTCTCAGTTTCACTCCAAAGAAGTTTGTCTTTCTGTCTCTGACGGCCTTCCCCAGTAGGCTTCTAAGACATTCCTCTTCGTTGGCCATGACATCTTCCACTGCCAGTTGAACGACATCTATATATATATAATAAGAATTACCATTTACCAAAAATAGTAGAAAAAAATAGGTCAGAATTTAATGCAGCCTATAAATAGTAAGTTTTATTATTTTTATTTTATTTTTTCTTTAAAAATCATACATCATTAAATGCTACCTTAAATTTTGGGCTTTAGTTTATTTTATTATTTAAAAAATCCAGCTAAGATTTATTAAGTGCGTATGTTTTTATTTTTATTTTTTTCGTAGAAACAACTAACAACATTAAAATATCGGTCTCTATATTTATAAAATCTCAATTCAAAATATAACAAAAGTTTTAGAATCTCGGCCTTTATATTTGTGCCTTCAAAAAAAATATTGAACGCTAAAAATATTATTTAAATTGCATAATCAATCAATTAATCTTAATTTTTAAAAAATTACTATGTTTATATTTTATTAATATGCATAAAGTAAAAATATTTAATTCATCCTTAGATATATAATTTATAATCTTGATATACTATCATTTGGTGTAGACATTTATTATATGAATCATAAAAAAAATTATTTCATAAAATTAAATATATTTACAGAAAATAAGAAAATTCATTCGGATCAATCGGGTGATTGAATTAGGGTACTGCCCAGGTTGATTGAATTACTTTTAGGTGATATTTAAAATAGTCAAAAAAATTGACACAACTTGGTTGGTCCCAGGTGACTAAGTTATTTATCAGTTCGACCCCACCAAATCGATTATTGAACATAAACATAAATTTTATAATGAAAATATTTTATTACGTGAATGTAATGTAGTCCAAACTTCAAATAATCATATTAACAATAATTTTATGATAACATGTTTAATGATTTATGAATATTTATATATCATTTTATTAATATTTATGTGAATTAAATAATATTTTATTATAATATTTATTAATGTACAGTAAATATAAGGTTTTCAGAACTGGACCGTCATCAAAACGATCAAGCTATTATATTAAATCATTTGTGGTTTGTTCAGATTTTAATTTATAAACATTTTAATATATACATATATATATATATAGTACTTTTTGTAATAAATTTAAATAAAATGTGTTACTTAGATATCTAAACAATTTATAATTTCAAATGTTTAAACTTATTGATAAATAATTTATAAATCTCTATTTTATTTAAATATGTAATTTTATTTAAAATAATTTTAAATATAATAAAATTTATTTAGAAAATTGTATCGATCCTACCAGTCCAACCGAATGGTGTTGACGGATTCAAGAACAAATATTTTATTCAAGCGAACTAGACTGGTTATAAACGGTTCTCGGTCCATCCGGTCGGACTCTGTCCAACCCGGTTTAATTAAAAATAATAGATAAATCATGATTAGTGTTATTTATATATTTAATTTATAATACAATCGTAATAGTATTTTTTCGTGCATCGCACGAGCCACGCACTAGTTGTTTTCCATCAAGGAGAAAGTTATATTTTTCAGTCGGACTCCCTATTCCTCCTCAAACCCCTATAATTTGTTGCTTTCGAAGGCAATTTTGCCAAAATTGAACACACTACGGATTCTCAAATAATAACCCTAACTCCCGAATCATAATACCCGAATTCGAATAGGACTCTGAACGAAAACTTAACGTTAACGAGAAACCAAAAAGAAATTAGAAACTCAGAATACAACATAAAAAGATTTTCTGATAAGAGAATATGACACTCTCCGACGAGAGAATTAGAACTCTCTACTAAAGAATAGTTGTGGCCTTCATTACATTTTTATTACTCAATGATTCAACTCTCCTAACATATATATCAATTTCTTAATGATACATTGTAGTTTCAGTCCATTTTCCTAGTGAATATTCGAGTTTATTTGAGTCACTATTCACTAATCACTCTCAAAAGTCAAAAGTCAAAACCCTCGATTTCATGGTCCTCTAAACCCCTTCTTCCCAAAAGGTTGTTTTGCTGTTCCCCATTTCTCCCCAAGATGCAAATCGCAGGCATAATCGAGAGATCAAAAGCACGATTTTTGGTCTCCGCATACGGAAAATTCTCCTTGTATTCAGAATCCTTTCGCAACCCTAAACCCCTTCATCTAATTTCTCCGTCTACATCACCGCCGACCGTCGGCAGCGCACTCCGGCTGGCTTCGGGTCTCGTCCGGGCCTACCACGACGGCAGGCCAAGGGGACCTCTTTGGAGGGGAAAGAAACAGATCGGAAAAGAGGCTCTTTTCGTCATACAAGGCCTCAAGCGCTTCAAAGACGACGACGAGAAGATTGATAAGTTCATCAAAACGCACGTGCTCAGGCTTCTCAAGATGGACATGGTTGCCGTGCTTGTAGAGCTCGAGCGGCAAGAGGAGGTTTCCCTTGCTGTCAAGGTGATTTTGGTTCTCCTTGTACTTTGTGCATCGCCGTTTGTACCTTCTTTGCGGATTCCCTTTTCGTTTGTGGGTTTAAATAGCTACCTAAATGACTGTTCTTTCTGTTATGACACTCAGTTACTTATTTTCATGCTTAATGCATGTGCTTTTTGAAGTGGCTTTAATTTGACACAATCAATCTAATTATGAATGATTAGACAACCAATTATTTCCTGCTTGATTGGTATTCAATTTTTCCGATTTAAAGAGGATGTAAACTGAATAAAGATGGAGACTTGTAGGTATTGTATATAAGTTGTTGGAGTTCATGGAGTTGGAATATTTGAGATCTGCATTGACCTTTTATACACTGGAACACCATAAATTATGCTCCCGCTCTATTATCCACATATTGGTTACATTGTTTCTGAGCATCTACTTTTCTCCTAAAGTCGATGGTATCGAAATTTCTTGATATTTTTCAGATGTTTAGAGTGATCCAGTCACAAGACTGGTACAGCCCGGATGTGTATCTGTACAAGGATTTAATTGTTTCCTTGGCCAGAAGGAAGAAGATGGACGATGTCATGAAACTATGGGAAGATATGAGAAAGGAAGGTTTATTCCCAGACTCTCAGACGTATACAGAAGTTATCCGTGGTTTTCTGCAGAATGGTTCTCCTGCTGATGCCATGAACGTTTTTGAGGATATGAAGAAATCTCCAGATCCTCCTGAACAGTTGCCGTTTAGAATATTACTGAAGGGGCTTTTGCCTCATCCGTTGTTGAGGAACAAGGTGAAGCAAGATTTCGAGGAGATTTTTCCCGACCAGCGTGTTTATGATCCTCCTGAGGAGATTTTCGGATTGCGATGAAGCTTTGTGCTTTCTTACGTGTTGGTATGTGTTTGTAATTGTTGTGGCTTTTAATCATGGACTTCATTCATTTGTCCTGTTAATGCTTAGAGGCTATAAGTTGTCAGTGTCATTTTGTATTCGTTAAATTTGATGATACATGATAGATGAGTTTGTTGAAGTGCTGTTTTTATAATAATGTTGCACTAATTTGTTTGAATAAATTTTTGGATGAGTTGTTAAACTCCAAATCACCGGTGAGAGTTTCCTGAAGTTCTATTCCAATTTTCTGGATAACCAACTCAACTGTTTTCTGAAGTAGTTCTTACCAAACACCGGTTCTGAATCTTGAAAAAGTTGCATTATTTTTTCTCACCATTCGGGTTGTCTTTTCACTTGATTCAGCACTTCACATGTGGACCAATTATCTCAAACTGAACTTAAAAATAAGCTAGAGTGAAGATGATTAGACTAATATGTATGCATCTCACAAGATCAGTCTCTTCAGATAAGATACTAGGAAATATAAGAAATCTTTCGGAACTCTTAGGAGGAAAATATGACGCAAGAATCCTTTTCTCATTTTGTATGTTTTCCTTTCGTCTTTTCTTATTATGCTTTACGCAGTGCTATCTAATATCTTTTGGAGAAGCTGGACTCACTTGAAGCTGAGAAATTAAAAGAGCTGGACTTGAAGATGCTAGAGATCTTTCATGGTCTTTAATGACGAGAAATTCTTGAGGTATTATTCCTTTTTGAATTGGCAAATCTAAAAAGGTTGCTCTTTAGTGTCCTTTTTTTGTGCATGAGGCCGAGTGCAACAATGTGGATAATCTAATGTATTTTTCCTCATATAATATAGAGCCAGACAGTACAACTTGTGTTAAATTATGTTTGTAATATTCTGTCTAATTACCAAATTCGGTTGAAGGGCGTGATCAAATATTTCCCGTGTGATATGAGTTGATGGGAACAAAAGTGGTACTTCAAGACCTTGATCAAATTATCTGAAAAACAAGTTAAGCTTACCAATAACAAGTTAGAACCTGCAGAAAATTCTAAATATTGAGGCATCCACCTCATCCTAACCGTAAAGTTTGTTCCCGTATCATATATGTATATACACATCTATACATAGCACGTAATTAGCCAACATTAAGGGTCATGAGGTGGGGGCAGAATGCAAAACTCAGAAAAGCACATTTTGGATGGTTGAGAACTATCATGCAACACCATAGACCTGCACAATGGGCAGGTAAATTGGCATCTCTCGAGCCATTTTTCCATACACCCCACGTGAAATACATGCCCGCATCTCGGTAATTTGTTCACCAAGTCTTCTTTCTCAAACACTGTCAAGCAAATTGAGCACAATTCTTCATTTTCATCATATCCAATGCTTTCTCCTCTGTTTCCTATGCTGAACTCCTCCAAATCTTGAAAACATGAAACTTGAAGATTCAGCTCGTGGGCTGGGGGCGCTTCTTGTTCTTGAAAATGAGTGTTTTCTAGGTGATGATGGTTTGGGTTATTGATAAAGAAGGTGAAGATTGTGAGTATTGATTGAGCTGTTTGGATGAATGGGATCCATATGCATGTGTAGAGGATCAAGGTAAATGTGCACAAATGGGATTCTGCATATATGCAGATCATTTTTTTTAAT